TTGGCATGGAATATGATCGCAAAAAGGTAAAGTATTGTTCTAATCAATAAAATGCGATACACATCTGTGCAATGCAAATGCTGAATGTCAGCTAGTCTTAGTTTGCTTCAATGCGTCTCATTTCCTCCAAGATCGAAGGAAGTAATCCTATACGAAGTCTATCCCGGTATGAGTATAGATCTATTAAGAAACTCGGGTGTAAAGTGCATAACTTTGCGAAACCTAAAAACCTCGGAAATTATAACCATTTCATTAAAAAAAACCGACGAAGATACGAAGAAATTAATCGTACTGTGTTCTTGAGGCAAAATGATACAGGTAAGTGGACGAGAAATTCAGTGATGAGAAGCCGATACATTGAAAGACACAGTGATATCATTTTCTGAATGAGAAAGGGAATCTGTTCTAAACTCTACAAACAAAGAATGGTTCGGTGACCTAGTCATTTTCAAAGATGCACCTATCACTTAAATGTACCAAAGTTTAGACTTCAGGTAAACAGATTATCCAAAAGTTTCTAAATCACGTGTCAGTCGTCAACGCAACTCAAGGGCACTGGAGCTGCTTCGAGGTGACTTCATGTTCTAACATGTAGAATGGTGGCAATCACAAGCTCAAGGGTCAGCTGTGAGAAACATAAGAACTTCCAAGAGGTTTTTCACAAGCAATTCCACGATTTCATGGAAGAAAACGAAAATCCGCTACTGTTCCACTGTCCTTTTTAGCTTCTAAACGAGGCTGAATTACAGTACTGCTGATCGATCGGTACAGCAGGGAAAATTCTTTTAAAATTTTATGGAGGACTTTGTTACTGAGCTCATTAAAAATGCTTCGCGTAACGTCAGTTACTTACACTGACAACGTCATCAGATAGAGGACGGCGTTATAAGCCGCGAAACCTGCTCAAGACTTATGCACCAATTAGCATATTTTAGCATATGAACCCATATCCATCGGATGTTCGTTCGGAACGACATAAAGAGTAACCGGTTATGAAACACCGTAATAAACATGAGATTGCTTCAACAAAAAAATGAGCACCACATTGTATGAGAGCATGGTACTGCGAACTGCGTTACATGGTTGTGACACCTGAGCATTAACGAGGAATGAGGAACAAATCTTATGAGTGCAGTGGTGCGTTATGAAAACAAGGATGTTAGGAATTTCCACCAGGCAGCAGCTGCAAACTGAAGAAACAAGAACAAGCATAGGAACAAACAACGTTGTATCAGTTTCCAGACAAAGAAAACGACGATGGACAAATCATATCGCAGGAATGACGAATGACAGATAAACAATAACAGACAGATTCACATCAAACGGGACGCAAACGCCATACAATAGCAAAACTTTGTCTCAGATGAGAGGATGGGCTAAAGGAGGGGTATAAAAGCTTTTGGCAGCAAAACGTACGAGGCAGATGAGCGTGAGAGTAGAGAATAGTTAGTGGAGATACCCGTTAATTGGAAAGAAACATCATTTTTGAATGGCAAGAACATAAAACCTCTTACGTTGCGGGTTTAGCCATTAAAGCTAGTTTTCGATAACACCGTTATAAAACAGTAACTTAAGCATTACTCCCAGGATTTACGTCGAATAAGCAAACAGAACCCTTCCTGCAAGAGACCTAAAAGACATTGTAAGTCACAGCTCTGAGTCAAGTATCTGGATGCAAAACTACATCATTGTACTGAACCGAGTAACGTTCGAACATAACCTTGAACTAAAATGTCTCTATTTAACGGTTATATATAACCAAAATAACCCATGATATTGAGAGTGGATACCAAGAAGTTGATATTTCATGCAGCTAGTTAAAAACGTATAATTTTTCCGGATTTAAGAGATTCGGAAGATTTTAGACAACAATAAAAAATCACTTTTATGGGTCAATGTGAGCAAGTCAGCTCAAAGATGAATTAAGAAACTCAACAAGATTCATCACCCTACTCGACATTTGAAACCATTTTCGTCATTCGCTATATGAGTTTGAATAAGACACCGCCTTGTTCTTACGAAAGGTCCAATTACTTCAGTACTGGATTGTCAGTACCAGCTCTTAACGATGAACTTTCATCACTAACGACACACAGAAATTCTAAAAGGACAGAGGATATCCAAACTCTGCTACGGTCAAGGTGAAATCGATGCGTACCACGACTGGCCCAAAGTCCTGAGGGTCGGTCATGCATCCTTAACGTAAAGCAGCAAAAAGCCTACTAATCAACATATATCACTTTTCAAGTTATAGGCGACATAGAGGCTTAAGAGCGAAGCATTTAAGCCGATAACGGCTCCCCTACAAGATGGCAGCTGTGATATGGCGAACAAAACAACCAGTTCGAAACACAGCACCAACGATTAGGACAGATACTTTCTAAACTAGTCCAACTGTGAGATTTTTAACAGTAGCCCCGGATCTTTCAGGCACAGTAGTAAGAAAGCTCAGATGAAACCTCGCTTTCTAACCTCCTCGTCGTCAAGAGCGCCGGCAGCCAACTCTGTCTGATATCCAGTCACTGTTTAACATCATAAAATAAAAACAACAACGGGTTTTATTGCATGTTCCGCATGACAGTAATCAAACTTCAAATCAAGACTTCTGCAACACTGGACAGAACTGGTCAATTATGATGGGGCACTGCGAGGCTGAATCAGTAACTTATGCTCGTCTTATGCTTCGAAGATAAACGTAGAGCTCAATCATCTGTTGCTACCTATGTTCCCAAAAGATTTGTCTGTATCCTGAACGTAAATAAAAGCAATTATAACATTTGACGACGAACTATGTGCCTAAAAACGTTACACAAAACAGATTTTACCTGAGCTGCGCACCCTCCAGCACTCAAAACTGCTCCCATCGCACACCTACACCATAACACATCACATTCTATTTGGCTACAGGAACAAATAATTTTCAGGTGATGTGCAGAAAACTATAGGAATCTGTAATTATGGAAACGTATCACTGTTAATAAATACAGGAAGAACACACATTAGACTCTCATTATAACTGGCTCATCGCGTGATCAAAGTGTCTACGAATCATCGAAATCGGCCGACTGTCCAGCCAACTTTAAAATTTTACCCAACATGAACCAGTTTACGCATAAGTATTGTATAAAAAGTTGCCCCAAGGCCTTTGTGTGTATGTTGCAGTTATAACTTTACGCCGTCTGAATAAAGAAAACATTTCCCATTTTGCACTGTATTTTAAAATTTCCAACGCATTTTCAACAAGGCGACTCTTGCTGCATCTTTTAATGAAAAAAACCTATTTGAAAGCTGATCTACTTCTACTTCTTCATTCACACTGAACCTTCGGTCAATATCTGACGTGTTTTGATTCTTTCAAGGGAGCAAAATTGTTGCAACATAGAACTTAGCCACAACCAAATCTTTCATAAAATCCAACATATCCCTCAATTCTCCGCATCGATTGAGAGCTCTTGCACTTACAAAATAGTCATCACCTAAGAATTCTGTCACTTAACCATTATTATTTGACGTATGCAGCACTGCTGTACGTTGTTAAACCGTCGTTATCAATTGTTCAATAAAACAATCATCTAATATTGTAGCAGTGTTTTGGCGGAGGCAACGTAACGTAGGGCATTATTTCTTTGAATTTTGCATCGCTTTAAGTGGTGAACGCATCGGAAGGTGTGTCTCAAGCACTGGAGCAAAATCAATCCTATCATTTAACTGTAGTTGGATGGTGCAATCTTCGGGAATTATGAAACACATTCTTGAAATTGTCGACCTTCTTTACCATTTTACCGTCATGCTTCGCCTGCAGATCTCTAACGCTGGATCCGGATTTGCATAGCACATGTCAGCGAGATTTATAATAGCTTTCCTGAACTGTGCCATCCGTCTTGGATGCAGTCACAGTTTTTGTCAGACTTGGCCCTGTTTCAAAGCAGCAAGCATCGAACAGCATTAAATAGCATAAACAACTGTACGACTTTTGAAAAAATCCTCAAGTAGCTTTCCTTCTATCATAATATCAGAAATCTTCAAAACGTCTGCAGTGTGCTGAGGGATCCGATGGTATTTTAAAATTGTTCGCATTGCCGGTAGCAATTCAAATGCTACGCTCAAGTGCTGGGAAAGTGGCAAATCAAGGCAACTGAAATCGCTGACACTGCTTGTAGTTCTAAGAGGAATGTAATTTTTTGACAGATCAGAAGTAAAACATGCCACTACTCCGATTTTGGTGAAGCCGCATATAAATAAATTGTCCCAACTTTTCTGGGAGCAACATTTCACAATGGTTGATAGTAGTGTGATGCTAATACAGCTAAAACACTCGATTTCTCTTTGTTTGAATATACAGACGAGGACCATTCACTATCGTTTGTTTGGGAAATGTTTTAAACTCCATATACGAATGTGACAGGGTGATAATATTGTCTAAGCAAAGTTAGATGCCGCTAAGCGCTACCGTGGGTTATGGTTACAGGAATGTTTCTCAGTTATGAGGATTACCTACAAAATGAGCGGAAAACCTGGCGTAGACCAATATAGGTAACCAGCCGTAGACAATGCGCTGACAGTGCCGTAAAGGTCTGACGAGACAACGACTGAAATAATTGGCTCTAGCAGATGAGTCAAGATA